CATTGCAGAACCAGACAGTGATGGGTCTTATGTTGGCTTCTAAGACAGCCCCCATCGTAGGCTAATTGCTTAGAATATGGACGAAAAAAAGATTAATCGGACATCCATGGCTTTGACAGACCCATGGTACGAATCTATGGGTGCCGGGTTGACCCAAAATTCTACTTAAACCTTCTGACACCGCTGATAGCCCGGTAGCGGAAAAATTTTTTTTTTTTTTTTTTAATAAAGTTGTCGGCTGCCGGGTTGACAAGGCCCGGTAGCCGACACAGCCCGGCAGCCAGTCCACTTTTTGAAAAAAAAAAAGTTCCAACGTTGAATTTGAGGTTTTCGAAGCCAGAGAGTTTGGACAAAAAAAAAGCCTGCTTGAATTTAGGCTTGCTTTAGCATCTCGTTTAGCATTCCGTGTGGAGACTTCACTTTTCTGCGCATAATGCAAGGAAGCCAACTCTACCATGTGAAGATGCAAGGAGGCCAACTCTACCATGTGGAGACGCAATTAATCTTGTATATTCGGGCATTGGAAAGTGGAAAGTTCGATTAATCTTATTTTCGTCCATATTCTAAGCAATTAGCCCATCTACAGTGAAAAGTTCATTTTTCTGCGCATAATAAGCAGAAGCAATGCAAGGAGGCCAACTGTAATATGTGGAGACGCACAAAGAAGTATATTGGGGCACTAGAGAAAGCGGATTATGCATGGATAAAAAATGTTATATATTTTAAAATCATAATAAAAGCCCTCTTAAAAATTTATTCATCATCTAATGTCCAATACTTATATTTGGTAAATTAAAATAGTTAATCAAATATTCTATTATAATATAAGTAACTATATGTCATTGAGTCGATTGAATAATAATTTATTTTTTCTTTTTTTGTCATTTCAACTAGTTGTCTATCAAGTTTCAATTGAAATAAAAATTTTATAATTATTTAAATTATTCAATAAAATAATCAATTTAAGATGAACATAAATATAAATACATTAAATTGTATTATTGAAATATTTGATTTCATATGAATGAAAAACAAGAAGAAATGGCAAGAAATTTTTTAAAAATTCATGTGAGTTCTTTATATTGGTAATCACCTTTATTTGTTATTATAATCATAATACCTGATCATAACCGATTGAAACTCATATCCTAATACTATTTACAACTAAAGTTACTATATACTCCAATTAAAATTTTCTTTTTTTCACTAAATTTTCTTTTATATATGATGTATGTGTTATCATTTGTTGATAATTAACATAACGAAAAGATGCTATTTAGGCTAATATGTCTTGACAATGTGGATTACTTTTAAGGATTTTAATGAGAATTAGACCACATTTTTTATGGATTCAATCTAATTCACATTTTATGTCATTTGAAATATAATTATTTAAAACATAAGGGACCAAAAAATACGAAGTAAAACTTTTGACTAATTCTGACTTGTTTTGACCGTTATATATTATAGTTTTGTATTAGTTGTCCTAAATTTGGCTAAAATAAAAAATTTGCTATCATAATTATTTTGGTCAAAATATCACAGATTAGTTTAACTGATAGACCAAACGTTGGGGGGACCAAAATTGCACATGTTCCTTTATCTTAATCACATTTGATATCCCAACCCTTTCTTTTATATTTACGCCTCAATTATTTGAAATATGAAACTCAATTAAAAAATAAAATCTACCACAATATTTGACATGTACAAAATTCACTAAATAATGTTGAAAATTTCACCCATTTTCCAATACAACAATTTCACCCTTTTTTTTTAATTAAAAACTTATGTCGCTTGACGTATTAAATCCGACAGTCTTTTAAGTTAATTAAATGACGTTTCAAAATTCGAATAGTAGAAATAGATGAAAACAGATTTGTTAAATCAATAATTATTTCTATAAGATGTTAAACTAAACAAAGGCCGTTTTAAACAAAAAATCTCATTCATTTTACAATAAGATGCAGTTCTCAAATTGTTGAAAAATTATTTGTTAAAATTGCTATGTAATTTTTAATGTACAATATAATTTTATAAATATAAATTTATTATGCAATATAAAAACAAAATAGTCATATACAATGTCTATCATAATTATCCTGAAATGAACTTTCCACCGTAGACGTAACCTATTGCTTCTGCTTCTGCTTAAATGCATTCTTCTATAACCCCCATTGCTTAAATGCTTCTGCCTTGATTAGAGCCGAAATGTTTGACTGACACTTTTTTTAAAAAAAAATTGGACGGCCGGCAGCCAGCTTTTTGCAGAAGTTGTCAGCTACCGGGCCTTGTCAGCCCGGCAGCCGACAACTTTATAAAAAAAAAAAAATTTCTGCTGCCGGGATGTCAGAGCTGAAAAAAAAAATTTTGAGTAACTTTTGGGTGCCGGGTTGCACCAGACTAATGTCAGAGCAATAGATGTTCGAGTTTTCTTTTTTTTTTCAACCATATTCTGAGTAATTAACCCCCATCTTACAACTGTTCAAATTTTGAAAATATCCAACATAAAAATATTTTAATAATCCATTATACAGTTTTTTTTTTAATCCAAACTGGACATTGGAGAATTGAACTTTTGTTGGAATCCAAGTCTAGTGAAAGAATATAATTAGAACCAGCAAAAGTTACTCTTTGAATAGCTCTTTGAATGATTATAGATTTTAGTTTTTTTTATTAACTAAAAAGACCTATAATCATAATAATAATATAAAAAAAAAGACGCATTGAGAGTATCACAAAAATTGATTATCCAAAATTGGAATCTGTAATAGTTAAAATAATCAACCAAGAATAAGCCCTTTGTCATGGTATTTGCCTCAGTGCAAATCTCACTGCAAAATTCTTTGTGGTTGCTCATGTCTATTGGATGAGAACGTTTCATTAATTAGAGAAATGAAGTATCTCTCTTATCATGCAACTCGATGCACCAATTTAAAACAAAATTAAAGATTAAAAGAGTAAAAGGAGAGCATTTTCCAAGCACAATAAATATATCCCACTATAGTTGCTCTTATTACTATTGCTTCAAAACCTTTGGAAACAATTGAAAATAGCTTTTTTACTAAATATATCCCACCATACCAATACTAAATTTATAAGTATATCCTCATATTTGGAATTTTATGCTCTTAAATTTGCATTGCAGTTTTTTTTTTTTAAATCTTTTTGAGAAGTGAAACTGCTCTGGCCTGCCAATTTTTCGTGTCATATAGGATATTGAGCTCTACTGAGGATGTCTCGGTGACAGCCATAAACCTAATTTAGATCGAGAACTAGATACCGATAAAACTGACTGATATTCAATCTTTAAAGTTTGAAATGTAGGAATAGTTGTTGAATTTTGATTCCAGAGTTTTTTATTACAGGCTAAATTATCAAATTTTATACGTCGATAATATGTTATATATTATCAACAACCTACTGTAACTTATACGTTCACTAACTAGCTTTTTATGTTTAATAACATTTTAAAATCCAAGTCTCTCTTTTGGGATGCGCCAATGTGTCATAACACTAGAATATGTGAAATTTTTGCACTACAAAATGTGTTTCACAATCTTGTAGATTAAAGATTAGGATTATGTGACCTTAGAAACGCATTAATTAGGATTTCGATATCTTGATTACACTCACAGTTTGCTTCACTAATCTACGCTGGAAAATCCTATGTAAAAGTTTGGATAATCTATAAGAAACCATTTTGTGGTGGTGAGACAAATCTTTTGTCAATATTATTCACCTAACCCCAGTTCAGTTGTGATCATTAATTTTTGTGTATGCATGTGATAATCAAGGAGATATAACTTTCTTAGTATTTTTCTTCAGAACAGATAGTTCTCTGATCCAATAAAACATGAAAAGATTGCATTTTCTTACCTAATAGGCATCCAAGGATTGGTGATAGAAAATAGAGCAATAGATGCATTGAAAATTTGAAACCACATAGGAAGAACGTACAACAAACTTTTTTATTCAACACACAACTTTAAGTAAGAAATATATATGGGAAAATGTCTCCATGCGAGATTTTTCATGGCTGCTCATGTTTATTGGACGGTTTCCTGAGTTGGAGAGGTGAATTAGTTCTAAGTGGCAGCAGCTGACTCGACGCACCACTGTGCCAAAAAGGGGTAAAAAATAAGAAGGAAAAGGAAAAAGGAAACATCTGAATGTCCTAAACTTGGGATGAGACTTGACAAATCTGCAATAGTCAAATTAATTCTCCCAAAAAATGAGTTAATTGTTTGATGCGTTTAGTCTCCTGCAAGGCTGTAACAACTTAACCTTTAAACGGTAAACACCATCACTTTTATACTCTTGTTATATTTTGAGAACATAAAAGTTGGGTCTCCCCCTTATACTAGGATGGTGTAGGATACTATAGATAAAGTGACGAGTGACAAAAAAAAAAAATTGAACGTTATCCGATTAAGCTAAAAGCTATATGTACATATTGCTAGCACCATCCAACAGTTTCCTTGAATAGGCTAGGATTGAGGAACTTCAAGCTCTGAACTTCTCTGAAGCTTCATCTACAGATGTTCTTGCACTCCTTTTGGTGGTTATAGGGTTGTTTTGATTGGTGGTTGTTCATGCATCTGAGGCCTCACAAACCTATCCATGTAATTCTTATTACATTTGGTGTAAACTTGTATAGTTTTGACGTAACCGTCAATTTTGTATGAGTTGACAAATTCAAATTTACACTCACGTCCTACAAATTTTCATAAAATATTGTAAAAGCTACGTCTAGTTTGAAAAATGAACAGAAGCCAACTTATGACGCCCCGTTTCCGGTGGTTCACCTTCTTTGGCATCATTTAATGAACTCTTGCTTGGCCTTTTGGGAGGTGCAAGGACTTTCCACTTGAGGTTGAAAATCAGAGGCCTTGGATTTTGCTATGTTTACTATGGCTCCAAGAAATGCGAAGTCTGAATTGAAAGACATGTTAGAAAGCAGATGTGCATGGAGCAGAAACAGAGACGACAAACTGGCATTAGAGCCCAAACAGAAAACTGGCATTGATATATTGATGATAAACTGGCATCATAGCCCAAACAAAAGACAATATCTATATACATTTCAGGGTAATGCTACTCCCCATTGATTTTATCTCGGCCTATTAACTTCGTAGGCAAACTTCTACCTTCACAACTACCTCCAACATGTCCTTCTAAGTTAAAGCAACCAAATAATCTTTCCTTTTATCAGTAGATAAAATGAATATCAACAAGTAACAAAAAGTGTAGCCGTAGTCGGATCATCCGATGAAGTTTATCTCACGTTTACACGGGGCCTCCTGTGTCTTTCATCATCCAAGTAACTGTCCCCCGATTTGTTATAGTTACCATATCTACCTTGTCTCTGTTTATGAGACCCTTCTCTACTGGAACTTCTAAAATTCTGCGAACGACCACCTCTAGGATCACTTCTGTAGCCATTGTCATCATCTACAAATCTTTTATCTCGTCTCTGCTTAAAAGATCCTTCTCTTTCAGGGCTTCTAAAATTCTGTGAACGACCATCTCTGGTATATTTTCTATGGCCATAATCAGTATCTTCAAATCTTCTAGGAGAATCTCGGGAAGATCCGCGAAGATTACCCATGTCCCGGTTTCTTCTGCCATTAGATGTGTTTCTTTGGCTATTTAGGCTTGCTTTCCTACTTCCAAATTTATCTTTGTCAAAATGGCCGTCATTGTTGGATTCTAAATCAGAGAATGGTTCATCATCACTGTCGTAACTATTTTGCTTTCTTGAACTCCTACTTGACTTCCATTTATTCCCTTTCATCTCCCTGGATCCAAAATCATTATTGGTGTATTCAGTGCCAGAGCTAAGATCATCATCTGAACCAAAACTCATGCCACCTCTTCTTTTACTTCTCTGATTGACATGACTAGATTTCCAGTTCGGATGAATAGGAAGCTCATCATCAGTACCAAAATCTATTTCAGGATCAGAGCCAGAGAAACCTACTCCCCTACGTGTTGATTTAGATGGCTTGTTTTGTGCGTGGACATTGGACTTACGACGAAGAGTCCAATCATGACCTGTTCTGTCTTCATCTTCTGAATACGAGTCAACATCAAGCTCAGAAAAATCTACAGTAGAAGCCTTCTGTGCATTATTCCGAGTATCAAGTTCATAATTTTCCACATCATCATCTTCATCATCAAAATCGTTGAATCCAAATCCGGGTTTGACAGGATCAGTATCTCTAGCAGACCTGTAACCCTTGTGCAATCCATCTTCGGATGCCCTAGCAACCCCTGCATGTAGTTGCTTATCTGAAGGAAAATCTTCATGCATCTTCTTAGAATCTGCATACTCAAAGGCAGCAACATCTGCCCCATCAGATTCATTGTCATCAAAATCAAAATTCCATGCATTGGAAATCTCTGGCCTGCCTGAAATATTCTCCAATCTCCTTGGACTGTGTTGCCTATCTTGCACTTGACTCTCCATAAATTCATCTGGCGGGCGCTTGTGTTCACAATGAAAGCACACCATGTTTCTCCTATAGTTCAAGAAATTGCACCTGCAAAAGCATGTGATCAACATTAATAAGGAATAACGCATCCCATCAAAAGCCATTGTACTGTACACAACAGGCTTGATCTGTAAGCAATACTCATTTTCAGTTTTCCTTCTTAAAGTAAAATGAGAAAATTGGTGAACAGTTCAGATACAAGCTTGAACATGTAGAGATTAGACTAATGAACAAAATTTATTCCATCAAGGATAAGCAAATAATTGATCAGAGAGTGTAAGATGACAAAACTAAAGAGGAGCAGGAAAAGCAGACATGATACATACTGTGGGCATTCCCATTCTCCTGGAAGAAGCTGTCTCTTAGGACGCTTGGCATCACATTGCAGGCACACTGTGTTCTTTGCAAAATTCATAAAGTCACACCTGCAAATACAAAACAAACACAGTAAAGTTCATCACTCAAAATTCACTCTGATTCTTAGGAAAGCAACCAAACGGTAAATTGATCTGAATCTTTATTTTAGATTATGACGAGAAGCCCCTACGACTCATCACAACACATGGCAGAATATTCTACTTCACTTAAGCAGGCAACTGGCGTCCAAATTACAGATTTTCCCTCATAGTAAGTTTTATCAGTTAGCTTGAAAAGTCAGGATATATTACTAAGAAGTGCCAAATACTTTCACTGAAGAAAACATAAGATAAACTGCGACTTTATGTGGTGACATGAACCATGAAAGGTCATACATCATTATGTCAGACAAGCAAATAGACGAGTTTGCGCCTCATTTCCCAGTAGCACATAATTCCACCTCATTATGCACCAACTACATAATAACCACAAATTTGGATTTACTGCTACCAAAGAATGTATAGAACAACATAAACAGTTCCTCCAACATGTCATCCAGCTGAGAAAATGAAAAGAAAAAGGATGATCCAGAGCAAGAAATTCGCAAAAAAGGGTCTCCATATATGCATCATTGTGTTCTTGATTGATTTCAAAACCCAGAAAAATAGCACATGAAAGCACTGAAGGAAAGAAGGAAACATACTTTACGCAAAGCCAATCGCCCTTTTTCATTTCAATATCATCACGTCCTACGCGCTTCTTTGGAGGGGGAGGTGGCTGCTTCACCTTAGGTGGAGGCTTTTTAATAACAGGAGGTGGAAGATTTGGATCTATTGGTACCGCACTCAACTTTACCACATCATGAATTAATTTGCGTACAACAGTCTTCAGAGTTTTCATCTTCATAAGAGACTTATTTGCAACTGATCCATTTACTGCATCAAAGCCATATGTCAATAATATACGCATGGCATCCATGGTCCTGGCTTCATCCTCTTTATTTGTAAGCAGATATGCTCTTTCACAAGAACTTCTCAAACTGCAGGAACTACAAACCTGAAAAAAAAAAAAAAGAAAAAACAATCTATTGGTAAACAGAAATTTATTAGCATATTGAAAACTCTAGTACTTACACCACCAAGTTTACTTCAAAATGAGCTATGGTTTCTTTTCTATTGTCTTCACATTTTTTCCAATCTCATAGTTAAAATAACTATCCAAACTTAAATAAAAAAGAAAAGAGTGGAAGCACATTATAGTAATATTGACTTGAATTGGGGGGGAAAGCACAAGAACTTGGAGACATGTTTCTTGCTCTCAATGAGGTAATTGAAGGATCATATTCCAATCTTCTTAGCTTAGGCAGTTACTTAAACCCTCTACAGCAGATAGAGACTCGATTTAAGCACAAAGATGCTTAAGCAAATTTAGTGGGGCATTGTCCTCTATTTCTGATACATGCACATCAAAATGCAGCTGATCAGGCAGTCAGGTGGTAGCAAATGCAAAAAAAGGTAAGCATGGTAAACCAAACAGCCACAAAAGAAACAACAACCAAAAACACAGGTTTTCAAAGTTGATAAATTTATGAACGGTGTCAAGATGACATAAGAGGTCTAAAATTCTAGGATTTTCACTGCATTGAGATCATCTACCTCAAGCCTTTGCCTGTTCTCAGAGAATAACCTCTGTAACTTGACTACAGACTCTTCTTTATGATTGTTTGCTTATATATCAAAAAATTAAATACTATAACTGTTTTAGTAGTTTTCTAGACTCCAGAGCATTTATGCACACGTGATTGCACTATAGAAGGTGATAATATCAACTTTTGAGGAAATAGTAATACTAACCATTTAACTATCTCAAGCCTTTGCTGTATAAAGAGGATAATTTACAGTATTCATATAGTTGTGAGATCCTTCTCTATATTTGCTTGTAAACAAATGAAAACTAGTCTGCTAGAAACCCACATTCTGAAGCATAAGGGCATTACATGATGTTGTAATAGAACGATATGCCAAAAAAGGGTGCTTATTTCAGCTTCCTTTGTCTGTATATCAAGACTAATAAAAGGAAGATAAAATTTTTGCCTCGACAAGAACCAGTTGTGAGAAAATTCAAGTTTAATTAAACAATGCGAAACAAAAATTTTCTTGCCAGACTAAACTCGCTATCTGACATGCACACATCAATAAGTCTTCGAGTTCATTATCTAAAAAGTTAACTCCCAACTTACATCTCCCTCATCCAGGTGGACGTGTTTCCTCAACAATTTTGCAGAAAAAACCACCTTCTTGTCCGCACTAGGGCATCCATAACCAACCAAAATTTGAAGATCCTGTCTTGACAATGACCTGAGATATTTGCAATTTAAGAATGAACACAAGCAATTACTGAAATAAATCTTACTTTTCTAAACAGTTAAAAAAAAAGGAGACATATCATTACACCTTTTGCTTTCATCAGTAGAAAAATTACAAGTGGTTTGTCTTGAAACACTATACTCCATATATTTGCATAATTTTAAGAGCTACCTAAGAAAAGAGGACGCTACTTTCAGTGCCAAGAAAAAAAATGTTGCAAGTAGGCAATAAAAAAATAGAACCAAAAAACAGAAAATAAATTATCTTGTCTGTCTTCACCTTTGAAAGAAATTGCTAGAATATAAAACTTTGATAGCAGCTAGTAATTCTTCACATCAAAAATCAAAATAATCAAAAGCTATCGAAAGAAGAGTGCGCAAAGCATTGTCACCCCATCACATAATTATACTAAAATTTAGTTTCAAAATGTTCTCTTTACATTTTTTCCCCCTTGTTACAAAATCCATATCTGAAAACAAAACTTGATCCCTGTTTCAACATTCATAGCATAAACCTATGTGACACAGTAAAAATACCATGGCCCTCCTACTTAGCTGAACTCAGAATCGTAGCAAAATGTATCCCAAATCGTCTATCAGAAATCAAAAGCAATCTTCCACTTTCTTATCAAATCTAGAATATAAACAAGAATCCTCCTTTATCACATTCTGTAAAAACACAAAATTGACAGAAACTAAAGTATCTAAAAACAGTTTCCCATCTTGAACAAACACATTTCCATAGTAAGATCAATCATCCCACTTGTATAATTTTACATTCACACATTTTATCAAACGCTATAACAGTGCCCCACATGATCATACAAAATTCCACAATATCAAAGAAAATTAACAAGAGCAGACCTCAAAATATCAAACCGGTCGCGTCCAAAATTCAGAACAGCAGTCTGAACAGTCTTGAAATCCCTAGTAAAATCAAATCCTTCCTCTTCAACCATTTCAGATAAATTGAACCCCACAGTTTCCATCATACCATCTTCATCTCTCCTCTTATGATCAAAATAATTCTGCTGCACTAATCTCTCCATCAACTCAATCCACTCAGGCCACGGATGGACCAGCTCAACTTCCTTTATTTTACCATCCAACAATCCCCCAGCATTCTTATGACTAACCTCATTTTCCTCCATCAATTCCAATTTCTTTTCTGACAACTCGGCCTCGGCCAGACTTAAGTCTGTCGTGGGTTGCTGTTGTTGTTGTTGTTTCTTGGATTCGCGCCAGGCACGAATTCGCTGCAGGGTTTGGTCTTTCTGGGAGCGTTCCTTCTCAATAGCGTCGATTTGTTCGAATACAAAGCTCATACGAGCGGATAGAGAAGAGGGTTTTGGAGTGGGGTCTGAGGAGGTGGTGGTCTGGGACTGGGCAGAGGATAAAGAAGAGAACGGTAGCTTATAGAATATTCTGTTAGGGTGGTGGTGGTGGAGGTAGAAACATGCCGGAAAATGCACGTTTTTCAGGCGTCTGCGGAGGAGGAGCATTTTGGCTGGTGGTGGAGGAAGTTAAACCCTGAGACCCAGAGAAAGAATAGAGGGAAAGAGGAGCCTGTTAAACCCTGATCAAATGTGTCACAAATTGTGTTTTCCCCTTTTGTGTCTTTTTAGTTTTACCATGTCAAACTTGATTTTTACTATAATTTTGATCAATTGCTAGGGCATTATCCTTGAATGATATATTTGTAGATTCATAATTTTTTTAACTTTAGAATGGAAAAAGGTTATGTTCAGAAATTAATTAGTATGTGGATTTAATGCATTCAGGTAGAGATAGTAGAAGACTTAAACTGGTGACCTACGGGATGCTACTGTGTGTGGTTGCCAGCCAAACTCGTGCCAAACTCGTCGTTGGCGGTTTTTCTTTTTATCAAGTAATGCTTTAGTATTTAAGTGGATTTAACTTGACTCTCATTTGATTAGGGTTATCAATTTGACTCCATATTTTAGGTTTTGACAAGAACACGATTCAAAAAATAGAAGATTTTTTTTTATTTTTGAACTTTTGTACTCAAATCTAAATTAGAATATTCAAATTCAACTCACACTTCAATAAGAGTTTCAGGCACAAATGGGGATCAACGCAAACTCATAAATAAATAATAATTATATCTAATATATTCTAATAATTATGAATTATTACAAATTTTATATGTAAACTTTCAAAATTTTATGCTATAACATGTACAATGAAATTTTATACCAGTATACTTGGGCTAGGCATTAATTGAGTTTGAACTAAGCAAAATTGAGACTCGACTCACGATAAAAATAGGTCTAATAATGAGGTTTAAATTCTACACTCCACTATGAAATTGCAATGGATCTTCTATCCTACACATTCTATTGTATTGCTATTTCTCCTCCATAAACATCATATTTTAGTCCTTTTTTATTTTCTTAAAATTCAATAACTATTAATTGAGTAATACACAAAATTTAACAAACTCAAAAAATCAAAATGTGTAAAAAATGAGAATTCTTTTATGAATTTTTTGTTCTATTTTTTGATTTTCTATTATATATATATATATATATATATATACTTTTTTGAGACTGTTGTATTTATTTTTGACTCAGTTAATAAATATTGGATTTTAAGGAAACAAACAAAAAAAACTAAAATATGATATTTATAAAGGAAAAATAGTAATATAATAAAAAGTGGGATAGAAAGTGGTACAAAGATTGGGACAGAAGATCCGTTGCACTATTAAACATAAGGTTAATCAATCTTGTTTGGGACCGACTCAGATCCGGTTCTATTGACAGTCCTACATTTGATTTGAGTATAAATTATTCTAATAATAGTTAATGAGTGTATTAATTTACTACTATTTTGTAAGGGAAAAATTAGTATGACATTAGCGACAATGAGAGTTGAACATTAACATGTGTTTTGTTGGAAAAAAAAAACGAATTTATCATTCACAAACAGGAAAATTGAGTGCTAGAAATAGAATAGTAACATTGAGAGTTAAACCTTGACAAGTGATTTCAGAACAAGAAGATTTTGTCATCTAAGAAGATTTTATCATCAGAACAAGCTACTCTAGTGCAAAACTTGAAGAGGCATTAGCACTCAGAGCTGCAATGATAATAGCTAACCAACAAGGATGGAAGAAAGTAGAATTTGAATCAGATTGCAAGCAAGTGGTAGACAAGGTGAATGGCGAGGAAGATGATTTGATCATTGCTATTGTGATAAAGGATATTAGAAGGTTAAAATATGAATTTGATGAATGTTGCATCTCCTTTACTAGGACTAGGAGGGAGAACAACTATGTTAGCCATAAATCAGGAAAAATTGCTATAAACTTGACAAATGTAACTGAATGGAAGCAGAACTTCTCAGTCTGGCTGCTTGAGACTGCTCAACCAGATTTGGTGAGGCAGTTGCCTGTGTCTTTGTAATACGTTTTGTTGAAGAAATGAAAGTTGCCATCTTGGAAAAAAAAAAAAAAAAATTCTTTTGCTCGCGTTTCGCAAGCATGGTAGCGCATAGAAGTATCACTTTGTTAAGACAGTACATCAAAATCCAAAACCATTTATCAGCCCAAGTCGAGTAGTCAGTTGACTGATTTGATGCCAGTAAGAAGTTCACTACCATCTGCATACTGATTGGCCGCATGGCTCAAATCTGGATATTTGGGGTCAACTGGAAACCGTTATGCAACCTAAATGTATTAGTATTATTGTCACTGTTATGCTTAAAAGTTCTAGGCATCAGCAAGACAACATCCTTGCCCGTACTTGGAAGAATTTTGGTCCATAAGGTGGATTTTATCCTAGTTCTAATGCACAAGATCCAAAAATGCTAAAGAAATATCAACATCATTGCGTCAGATGGTAGATGAAAGAGATCATATATGTTGGCAGTTGCAGACGTCCAATTGTTTGAATAATTTACAACAGTACAAGGCTATGAGCTAGACCAAGAAACAATGGTCACAGCCTTACGGGACGGTAACTTTTACAACAGACTAATCAAGCGAAGGATGCGAGGCAATAGGCATCTCTTCGCGCTACAGATGGGGAAAGCAAAAACAATAACTTATGGAGCATATGTACACAAATATACAAACATATTCACAGGTGATGTATCGAGGCAGCAGATGTATATTTTTTTTAAAACCATTCAGCCGTGCAAGTTGGGTATAAACCAAGTTCTGTAGCAGCAGCAGCGACAGACTTCAGTTCTTTCTGAACTTTCCTTCTCTCATAGAAAATAGAGCATGCGAGAGAGGTGCATTTCACCCCGCTTTCTAAAAGCCAGTCCCCACCGCCACAATGCCGGCAAATCTACAAGCAAAACCAAAGTACGTAGTCAGTCTGGTTAGAAACTTGTAGCTACAAGGGAAATATACACATATGCCTGTGATTGTCTTTGCGTGTGTGTGTACTTGATGTACAGCAAGTAACAATCACCAGATGCGTAGGCTAGAAGAAAACATGCAGGTCCAGGTTAAATGCAAAGAGAGAGAGAGCGATTGATGAAGCGAGGATCGAGAAGACACAACGCAAGCACAATCAGTAAAACTAAAAACAGATCTCAGTGTCACATAGAATAAAAGGAGATCCTTGGATTCCTTGAAACATTCGCTGATCCTCAAGCACCATTTGCCACTCTCATAACCATAAATCAGTAGCAGATGAAACTTAATTTTAATACTTACAGCAGCAAGATGTTGGATATCCTTTTCCAGTTTTGCAGTTCTTCCTATCAAAGCTGTTGCAACAGTTGCCTCACTCTTAGAACAGTTATGACAGAGATAGCTTGATGCTTGTACTAGTGCACCACAGAGGATACAGTGTCGTGATAGGTAGTAAAAGTCAATTCTAGTTCGATGTTGATTTGGAGCATAAAAATGACGTTTACCAACAGCTTCCCTTTCAGGACGCGGCATATCAGAGAACCATCGGTTCAAGTCAGCTCCAACGAGCCCAAAAACTCGCTGTAAAGCTGGAATGATCTGTTTCCTAATATAATAGACCTCATTTAATCTGTAATGAGAATCAAGCGCAAGAAGTTCCATTGGATCCACAACCAAATCTACCAGTCGTGCACCAGGTTCGCCATGAACCACCACATAAGGAACTCGCTCTGCATAGCGTGGTTCTGCCCTCGGGTCAGCCCTCATGGCTTTAGTGGCTACAATTGCTGATGGGGGAAGTGATGACGCCCGTGAACTGTAAGTGCCTAACCGGACCTCTTTTGCAAAAACAAAATCTTGAAGAGAGACTCTGCCAGATATGATCCGTGTCCATTGACGCAGTAGGTATGCATTAACCTATGATGAACAGATAATACAAAAGTAACAGATTACTAATAAATTCCAAAAATAAAAGGTGAAATCTTCAAGTCAAGGAAGTCTAAATTTCTCATAGTAAGAATTCACATAAACACCATTGCAAGTGTACCAGGAACATCTTATTAGGGCAAATCATGTATAATCCATTTCCTATTGATCAATTTGAAAACAAAAAATAACTACATTTTTTAATGGAATGGAATTGACAGGTCATGATATGCCGATTGCCAACCATAAAAGCTAGAGGGTCACACCATAGAAAATTAAAATGGGTAAGCCAATGTAATAACACTTCTACCTGTAATGCGCCAGAGGAAGCGTTTATTCTCAACAAGCACTACCCTAGTTTAGTTCAAAACTTAAATGGTCAAGCACATATATACATCAGTCAGCTGAGCTGAGACATTCTCATCTAGGAAACTTTTGATATGTTGTTAGGCAAAGAGAGAAGCGTGGGTTATTTACCCAAATATGATTTATATCATTATTGGAATTAAAGATATGATATTGGATCAGCTCGTGAAAAATCGACTTAGTAGATCTCGAAGAAATTGACTTCTTCTTCTTTATCTGTTTCTTTCTGCTTCTTGTGCTACTAATATTCTTTTTCTTCTCAAACTCCTCCTCCCTCTCCATAAATTATCTATGCACATAAGAGACAGAAAAATGAAGTCAAACAGCAGAAGCAAAAGCACACATGTGAACTCCGCTTCTGCCACATCTCAATCTTAATAATTTGCTGTCTTTCAAACTACCACCAGCATAATGCGCTCTTTCATTTGCTGTGTTGGCCAAATTCCGGCAGCCTGAAATTGAGATAGATAAAGATGCTAATGTAGAGAGCAGGCAGAATAATTTAGGTATTGTGGGCCCACTGCCCTCAAATCCAAAGTGAAGTGGTAACAGAAATATAAGCCCTTCACATCCTCATCATAATCGTCAGGAGTAAGACAATGCCAAGAAACAACAGTAGTAGCAGAAGAAGAAGAGGGAAAATTAAAATTGACAAGAAGAGACGAGGGCTGAGGAAATGGAAGATCGCAATACTAGTAGTACTACCAGTGTGGCACCTTGGTGCTTTTGCATAAAAATTAAATGGGGTTTTTGGTTGGAAGACCTGAAGAGGAGAGGCTGAGCAGAAGGAATTTGAGAAGGTAAGGAAAAACAGCACCATGAGAAGAAGGAAACAGAGAAAGCAGAAGAAAGCAGTCAATTTCTCTTCAATGTCTATAAGATTAACTTTAAAGCCAATTTCT